ATCTCTCTGTTTGGATGGCTGACAACTTCTTAAATCGTTATTAGTATATTCTGTGTCACTTAATTTTCATATCAATATACATACAAGGTCTATCTCTCTATATATTACTAGGTCCACACGTACGTATTTTCGAGTATAGATCGTATGTACATTGTCTACTACGTATATCAAGTACTTGAATGTTTTCCATATTATAAATATATATTGATGTATCTTACAAACAGAATTCGATAGCAAAATACTATGACCAAACATATCACGATGATATATTCTTCAACTTCTTAAATCATTACTAGTACGTACATTCAATCTTACATCGTACACTAGAAAGACCAACATGTGGTGGATGTACATCAGTAGGAGGATGTGGTGGAAGCTGGATGTACACCAGATGGATGTGAATATACATCAGCCTCGACATTGCCCTTGTGTACGTCTGTCAGTTAGACTAAATGAAACACCAACAACAAGTAAAGATGAATGTAAAGATGAATGTACACCATCATTTGCTCTGTCGTGTACACATGCATCGTACACCAACGCCATCGTTTATTCCACCATGTACCCAATCCCCGTACACCGTATCTTACAACATTGTATATTCCATCTCCTACACCAACATCATCACTAGCTCTGTCGTGTACACCGTCTTCGTACACGAACACCATCATCTACTCCACCATCTTCGTACACCAACACGATCGCCTATTTAGCCGTGTAAACCGTCCTCGTACATCATATTTTAAACCCCCTAGTACACCAACATCATTGTCCACTCCGCCGTGTACATCATCTTCGTATATCAACATGATCACCTATTTCACCGTGTACACCGTCTTCATACACCAACACAATCACCTATTTCACCGTGTACACCGTCTTCGTATACCATATTTTAAAACCCCCATATACTGTCTCGTACACCAACATCATCGTTTACTCCGCCGTGTACACCATCTTCGTACACCAACAACATCATCTACTATGTCGTGTACACCATCTTCGTACATCAACACCATTATCTTGATTTAGATCAACACAAAAAATCGTGAAAAGTAAAAAATTGATGTAGAAAATTTATTGATTAGAAAATCGTGAAAAAACTAAAAATAAAGATGTGAGCATGAGTGGTATAAAAAGAAAGGATCTG